TGAACTTTCTTTTGAATCAATACTGGTTGCAAGGAAAGTTACTGGATTTGGGATCAGCGGGCGGCAGATCGTTACATGTGATCATATGTCATATGATCATTCCTTCGCTGAGATGTCACATGATTTGTTTTGTGGTTCATCTAAGGAATTCTGCATTCCATGTTCTTCCAAGTTCAATGCTCTTTTCTCCAAAGTTTTTAGGCTTGCTATTTCCATTTTAATTACCTTTTTTGCAGGGTAGCATGGGGAATGAAAAATGGCACCTTGTTGCACTTCTTTCAGTCTTTGGGGTGCTATTTTGTTCTAGCATTTTGTACTGTATCTTGATTCATTGTTACTTTCAGAAAATTCTCCTGATCTTTTTCATTTATATCCCCTTGTATGGTATAATGATTGTTGTAATGTATTCTTGTTTGTTATTTTTTAATTTCAGTGTTTTGATGCCCTGTCAGATTATTTGACAGTTGGTTGGGTCAATGAATCAATCAGGATGAAACTGGCCCCATTATAAAGGATGTTCTAGAGAGTATCTGGAAAGGAGAGATGGCCTGGGTGTAGAAATAATGAAAGTTCTAATGGAGTGATAGAAGTCCTGCAAAACAGTAGGATCTTTTTTCCTATCTATCCTTCCTTGAGTGGGATCTTGCCACTATGACATGACTTTACACTGCATCCTTTGAGAGATAACCCCCCCACATGTTATTCATTTTAATCTCATGAACCGTTTAAACTAGCCTTCCACTCTGCAAAAATTTGTACCAGCAACAAGTCTGAAATTGACCAGCTTGTTCCTTTCAGGTGAGAAACACAGAGCCTTGGCCTTTTGGAACAGGGGTCAGCAGCTACAGCTTCACCTGGGAAAAGCAGGAAAATGTTATCTAGTCTACTGAGACTTGTCTTACTAGGACTGCCAAAGCTTTCATGAAAGCTGTAGGTTGGGGTTTCTCTCTTACAGTCTTTCTAGATTGTATTTGGAAAGATGATGGAAAATGGACAACATTTGAGGCACTGTGATATTTCTTTATGTTTGGCTAGAAAGTAGGTAACAAATGGTTGGTCCTGAAGGATCACCATTGTATTTATGTATGTATGTATGTATGTATGTAATTAATTAATTAATTAATTAATTAATTAATTAATTAATTTAAACCAATTGCTCATTCTTTCAATTTATATCAGTTATGATTCTCAGCCCAGACAGAATCATTATGTAAATATGAATCAGATGTCCCCAATTCTCAAGGGCCAGTAAAAACCACATTGATTCATGGTACATAGTATCATGTACCATGTACAGTATTTGCATTTGATAGAGAGCACTCACTGGAATTCTTTCTTAAGAGCTTCATCAACTTTTCTACAATAAATCTATTTATCGGACCTCTTTGCCCTTGAATGCTTGTAGTCCAGCTTGTCAACAGAAACCTGACACAAGGATTCGGGGTGATATTAATGACATCTAGCTCTATTACTTTCTCAGTGGATGAGGAAGTAGAAGTGCCACAGCAGTGCATGAAATCTGTAATGGGCATGATGAATGAAATACACAGAAACTTATTAGGACACAATCCTATTTTGGATAAAGCTGCAGTTTAGGCCCATTCTAGAGATACCCTTGCTACAAGACACCCAAGCAGTACCCATGCCATGTATGTTACTGCTGTACAAAGATTACTATAGTACCAATATGTTTTCAAGTACAAGGTGAAGTATCAATGTTTTTCTTTAAATTGCAGGACTTGGGTATTTAAAGACATTTCAAGGAAGGTGTGTTTACATACTAACCCTCCTGTGTACTTTGAAGTCTTCTTGATCCATCTGTATCCACCATCTGAAATAAGGTAGGTGGTAAAAAACCTATTGGCTGTGACAGTCCATTTTTAGAATTCTTTTCTTAGAGAACTGTGCCTCTCACACTTTTTAAAAAAATGTATTCTAATTAAATATGATGCAATGTATTATAGTTGGTCCTGAATGTTGCTGTGTCTTTGTAAACCCAGCCCCCATCTTCCAAAAAATTGCCTCTCGAATCTAGCCCTTTTCAATCCCATTAGTCTGATTAGGGGGCCCTGAATTCTTACCTTCTCTTTACAGTCTGAAAAGGCAACTGAAAACGACAGCTTCATATTATCCTCACAGTTACACTCGGCTCGGCTGGGCTTGTTAGCACACTGTTTGAACTTTCCAGTATTCTGTGGAAAAGATATCTGTTGATCTGAGGTTGTGAGATCAAAGAATGAATAAACAGTGATCTGGTTTCTGAGTCAGTGAGACTTTTTGACTGTCATTTGTTCCACACATAAGCTCCTAAATGGTAGAGTAGGGATGAAAAGGGATTTGCAACTGCTTTTCATTGTTACAAGTGGCTTGTAATTTATGAATGCACTTGCATATTGACATAATGATAATGCATAAGAGCAAGGCATATAACATTTGTATATTTTTTTTAAAAATCATGGCATTCAAAGGACTTAAAAAAACAGTAACCAAAGCTTACCTGTGATTCTTTAAAATAATTTCTCATTTTAGATTTGCCTGGGTGTACATTATAAAAATTATCTGTGAGTGGAACAGCGATTCCCATTCTAGATGGTGGTCTATAGTTCACCTGTATTAACAGCAACAAAACTGTTGGAGAATATGGTAAGTGTTTCAGCATCCTTTTCCTAATCCCAAATCTAACTTCCTAATTACTAGTATCATTGATTCCCAGGAAAATACCCTGATTCCACTGAAACTGGTCTTTGAAAATTGTGCTAGAAATTCCAGGTCCTGGATATAATTTACTTAATCAAATATGTATACCCAAGAGATTTTTAAAAAATAAATTAGCAACCTAGTTGATGGGTACATCTGTAATTATGAAGAAGTGTTGTAAGCCCTGGAGAGAAAAACACAAGAATTTAGCAACTTCTTAAAAACCAAACTGGTGAGGTTGACAAACAAACCAACCCCAAATGTACAACAGGCGAACAAAACCTCTAGCTATGTATAAGGGAGAGACAGTCTTGGTGCTGCTGCAAAACCCATAGTTTTCTACTTACCAGACTATTGAGACATTCTATTTCACAGAAGGCAAATGGATTACCCTCAGGAAATACTTACACAAAATATCCACCCAACTCACACACAGAAGAAAGAGAGAACACATGAGCATATACAAGCCAAATAAATTACAGATGAGAGAAAGAACTTCACCCAAAGCTTAAGTATAGCATATCCCTTTGTTCCCAGCCACCTCTGGCCTCTCACTCCATTTCCCCCCAAGGACCCAGGAACTGCTCTTCTGGGATTCCAGGCAGCAGAAGCTGCTTCAGCTTCATGCTGGAGTCCTGAAGCTTAGCTGTGATTCTGTGACCTACAATCAGTGGGATCACTGGGCTTTTCTAGACTCCTGGAGTTTGGAGGAGCATGGGAAATTAGAGGTGCACAGTTGTTTCTGATGGATCCAAAAGCCAGAAACAAAACAAGTCAGGGCTAGACCTAAGTTGTTGTCCTCCAAGAAGGGGATGAAAAGTATGGTTGCGCATGCAGCACTTCCCATTCAGTCTTCAAAAGATGCATCAAAACATGCAGGAGCAAAAATATAACACTGGGAATAGGCACAACTGCTTTAAGGCTTCACAGTTAGGTCCTACATTCATGCTGCTATGTGCCGGAGACTGAATCCAAACACTGCCCAGTCCTAATGTTTTGTGACAAATAGCTTTGACTAAGAACTTTGCAGGACCTGGACCTCTGCTTTCACTATATATTATGATTGTATGGTTAGAGCAACAGAGACATCAGCAGAGATCAGGGCATCTAAAAGTGGTTTGCAAGAAAACACAAAATGGGAGATGTTCAGAATTTCTTTCAATGGTATTTCTGAACATACTTTATCATTGTCAGATGGCCACTGTACTTGTTCTTTTTTTTTTTTTAAGATGTGTCCTGTGCTCTGCATTTTTTTTTTGCTGTCTATGCTTCTTGCATTGGTAACATGTCATAGAAGGACTTATCAGCCAATGGTGTCCTCAACATATGGTAAAAAAGTCAAGATGGCAGCTATGACAGTATGATTGAAGCTCTGTCTATTTTTTATGTGCATTGCACATGCAGCACACATAAAAATATGAGCAGAGCTTCAATAACACTGTTGTGGCTGCCATATTCATCTTTTTGATCACACCTTGTGGATATCACTGTAGAGTTTTGCCTGACTTCTAGTTTCTGTATAGAGAGTCAGGAAGACTAGATACTACTGGAGGAGTGATTGTTCAGTGAAGACTGACAAATTCTCTCATGTTATTTACCTCATAATTATACTTGAAGATAGGTTGCTATACAATGCTATCTCACAAATAAGCAAAGTACAATAACTTATATTTTACCCATGACAATTTTGCTATAGTATTCTTGTCCTTTAAAAGTTTTTTTTTTAATAATTCATTTTCTATTTAAAAGAATGGTTAAAATGAAATTCAGTGCCATACTACCATCCCAGGTAGCATGATTCTATTATCTTATGGGTAGCTCCATCTTTGAAATAGTGTAATCTGTGGCCAGAGAGCATATTGCTACATTTTTGTTTTTCTCCTGTCTAGAGCATTTAGGAAATTCTTTAGGATCCTTACCGGCAGAACTTTCAAATATTTACTAATCAGTGAATTATTGTACTCGAAGCTATTCTCCTTAGACAGCCAGTCTGATGTAGACAGTTTATAAGGCAGAACATAGTGCATTACTTTAAGGTAGGAGCAGGAATTCTTCAAGGTTAATATAATACATACAACATCGCATAAGAGGCTGGCATATGGCATAATCACAGCTATGGTGGTTTTACCCTAGAGACGATAATTTAAAAAACATAATATTAATTTGCCTCCAACATAAAATAAATAATAATTATTATCCCATCATAAGGCCTTCTCTATGAAAGCCCAACCATTAAAATAATGCTTCAATATTTGTGCTGTCTTTAACTGGAATCGTTCAAGAATTTTAATTTGACAAATATGTCTTCAGTGGTTACATTCTTAATTAATCCAGTACATTGAAATACAGCAGACATATCTATTTCAAGTGAATGGTCCCAGTCAGCTAAAATGAGAAACAATAAAAGTTATTCATAAAAGAATTATATTCAGTTGCTTTCAAGAATCTTGCAGTGCAGTCCCAAAAATACTTGAAATTCTAATTGGGCACAAGATAGTAGGTGTCACAACTTTATATACAGTAGTTGGACTGGGGCAGATGCATTCTCATCTTCATACAACCTGCTTCAGGCATTCTCCTGAGGGGCAGTGGCTTATGGTATGGAGCATGGTGGGGTTATGCACACTGGTCATGCATCCTTACATCCCTACCTGTACTTCTTCCTCCTTGACAGAGCAAGAGGAGTTCTACTGGCAGCTTGCTTGGATATGAGTAAAAGTCAGTATTGAATTGTGGATCCTGCTTTATCAGCATATGTAACCTCATGCAAAATTATATCATGTTTAAGTGCATATGAGTACAATTTCCATTTAGGCTGCCTCATTTCCACCTAAGAAAATCTGAAGGGACTGAAGAAAGGGAAAGGCCAGTTTGCACGGTGCTATATTATACATTTTGAGCCTTCATACAATTCTGGTTTGTTTTTCAAAGTTGCCTCAAAGTGCAACTTTGTCAGGACCTGGATAGGAATTGTGTACCTCTCTGGGTCCTCATAGCCTCTCAACCACTTCTGATAGTATTGACCATAGCATCTTCTGGACTGCCTGCAGAGCTTGGGGATTTGGGGCATTGTTTTGCAGAGGTTCTGTTCTTTCCTTTGTGAATGGTTTCACTCTGTTGTGCTGGGGAAGAAGAGGTTGGCCCGTGGCCCCTCATTAAGGAGTACTGTCAGGATCAGTCCTCACCGCCCAGCTTTTTAACATTTATATGAAACCACTGGGGAAGGTCATCCAATAATTCATAACTGTGCTGATGACATCCAACTATACATTACTACCCTGGCCCATGAGGGAGATGCTGTTGTTGTTCTTCTTGGCACTGGAGGCTGACAGGATCTGGACAGGAGAGAACAGGCTCAGACTGAATCTAAGCAAGAAGGAGTTGCTGTTTATACATCATGGTTCTTCTTTAGTATCAGTGTTATCCCTGGACAGACAGACATTACCTGTCCAGGAGAAGGGTCATGATTTGGGGGGTTCTTCTGGACTTGCAAACCACTTCATGGATCACTGCCTTGTCGTGGCGAAGGGGCTTGCGTAACTCAGTGAAGCCATGAGCTATACCATGCAGGGC